CATTCCTTCTTGGTGTGGGTTTAGTTTTTCTTTTTCATTTCTTAAAGTAGAATCTTAGTTTATTGATTTGAGATCTTTTTTCAGTATTAGAGTCTAAAGCTGTACAGTTTCCCTGAACTATTGTTTGTACTACAACCTATAAGTTCTTTTACACTATGTTTTCATTTTATTCCATCATAAATATTTTCTGATTTCCTTTTTTTTTTTTTATTGAGTTTATTGGTACATTTAGTGATACAGTACAGTTACATTTATTGTTGGGATCATGTACCTTTACATGGCAAGTCTTGATTCTCATTTTTTCCCCTTACCTCTGCCCTCCCTTCACCCCCTACATTTATTGTTGGGATCATGTACCTTTACATGGCAAGTCTTGATTCTCATTTTTTCCCCTTACCTCTGCCCTCCCTTCACCCCCTACATTTATTGTTGGGATCATGTACCTTTACATGGCAAGTCTTGATTCTCATTTTTTTCCCCTTACCTCTGCCCTCCCTTCACCCCCTCCTCCCCTTTCCTTTTTGACCCACATATTAGTTTCTAAGTATTTGTGAATTTCTGAAATTTTTGTTGCTAGTTTAATTCTGAATTCCAGCTTAATTTAGAATTGTTGTCAAGGCATATATAGTGTATGATTTTAATTCCTTAAAATGTATGAGGTTTTTTTGGAGGCTATGCTGAAGGATATTCTGTGTGCACTAGAAAAGTATGTATATAAGCCGGGCGTGGTGGCGCACTCCTGTAATCCCAGCACTCGGGAGGCTGAGGCAGGAGGATCGCTGTGAGTTCGAGACCAGCCTGGGCTACATAGTGAGTTCCAGGTCAGTCTCAACTATGTAGTGAGACCCTGTCTCAAAAAAAAAAAAAAAAGAAAAGTATGTATACCTTGTTGTTGTTGGGTAAAGTATTCTGTAAATTAATCAGGTCAAGATACTTATTAATATTACTCAAATTTGCTATATCCTTGCTTTTTATCTGTCCAGTTTTATCCATTATTAAAAAAGTGGCATTAATGTGTATTATTATTGTTGAATTTTCTATTGCTTCATTCACTTTTCTCAAGTTCACTTCATATATTTGGTGATAGTATAAGTTTATGCTTATACAATTTTTCTATCTTCTTGATAATTGAGGTCATTATGAAGTACACTTTTCATCATTGTAAAATGTCCTACATGTTCAGAATGACATTTTTGTCTGAAAGTCTATTTTTTCTGGTATTAGTGTTATTAATATTCTAGCTCTATGGTTACTGTTTGCATAGAATATCTTTTTTTCATCCCTTTATTTTCAATCTATTTGTATCTTTGAATACAAGATGTGTTACTCTCCTTCAATGTGTTTTATTCAATTTGACAATTTCTGGTTTTAATTGCACTATTTAATCGCTTTACATTTAATATAATAATTTATATGTTTGAATTTATATGTAGTACCTTGCTATCTCTTTTCTATTTATCTGTCTTTTTTATTACTCTTGTCTCTCCAATGCTAAAATATTGTCTATTATCTATCATTTTCATTTTTGTCCCTTTTTAATGCTTTCATATTATATACAATATATCTTAATCCATTACAATCTATTTTAGAATAATACCAACTTAATCTCACCTTAATATAGAAACTTTGCTCCAAAACTGTTCCATTTACCCCATCCTTAGTGCCATAATTACTGTAAATATTACATATTTTTATGCAGTAAACCCAACAATAGGTATATATTCTTATTTATGTAAAATAACTTAGTGAGGAAGGGAGTGATTAATATTTTTCAATTGTCTTTTACACTTGCCTATGTAATTGCCTATTTTATGTCTTTTCTTTGTGTGGTTTTGAGTTGCCATAATGCGTGTCAATCTGAAAGACTTTTTGTCTTTCTGTTTTTTTCCTTTCTTTCATGACTGCATTACTGTGTGTGTGTGTGTGTGTGTGTGTGTGTGTGTGTGTGTGTGTGTGTTGTAATGGGTACTCTAGCACTGAGCTATATTCCCAACATTTTTGTTTTTTATTTTGAGACAGAGTCTCACTAATTTGCACAGGCTGGCTTCAAATTTGTGATTTTCCTGCCTCAGCCTCCCTCACTCGTGGAATTACTGACATGTACCACTGAATGAGACTTCTGGTTACTTAAAAGGCAGATTTGTTTACAATGAAAGTTCTCTTCTCTGTGTTTCTTGGAATGTGTAAATTTTGCTCTCAGTTTTGAAAAATAGTTTAGTACATATAGAATTCTTGGTTAATAGGGTTTTTTGTTTACTTGTTTGTTTTTATTTTCTTTCAGCATTTTAAATATGTGATCACATTGTCTTCTGGCCTCCATAGTCTTTGATAAAAACACAACTACTAATCTCAGTTCTCCTGTATAAGATGAATCATTTTGGTTTAAGAATTTTCATTTGAGGTTGGGGATTTGGCTCAGTGGTTCTACTGCCTGCCTGGCAAGTGCAAGGACCTGAGTTCGATCCCCAGTACCAAAAAAAAAAAAAAAAAAAGAATTTTCATTTGATTCTTTCTTATAGAAAGAATTTTTATTTTATTTAATTAGTCAGTAGCATTATATTTTAATTATTATTACTTTTATTTATTTGAATATTTTAATAGTAGTTTTGATGTCTGCCTGTCAAGTGGAACATTCAGGACTCTTCATAGTTTCTATTGACTTTTTTTTTCTTCCCTGTATATGGGTTATGCATTTTTTTTGCATGTCACATAATCTTATTTTTTTATAATTTCATTTTTATTGTTAAAGATAATATATTTTGAGCAGGATATTTAGCTCAGTGACACCATGCCTGCCTCACAAGTGCAAGGGCCTGAGTTCAATCTCCAGTACTGAGAAAAAATAATAATAATACATATACTATGTGGGAGAAATTGTTAATTCTCTATCCCCTAGGATATTTTTATTGTTTGTCTGTTTATATGGTTAGTAATTTAGCTGAACTAATTCTGTAGAGTCTGTCTTGGTTACATCATGTAGCTATTGATATCTCTAAAGTTTAAAAAAATTATTTAATTATTTTAAAACATTTTTAAGGCTCAACCTCCTAGGAGTGGCCCTTGAGTCAATATAGCTTAATAGTGAACCAAACATTGATCAGAGATTGTGCTTTGTACTTTGAGCTATTAAGGCTAGTAAGGCTCAAACAAAAATGTGTTGCCAGAAAATCTGTAGGTGGGTTGGGGACATAGTCAACATTTGAGCATTTCGCAGGTCTGGCTAGCTTTTACCTTCTAATATACTATATGCATGTCTATTTACATTCATGTGTAAATGAGTGGATAGCTAGCACCCTCTCCAGTCTCTCTCGATTGTACACAGCCTTCTCAATGAAAGGGGTATATTTTAGATTATCAAGGCTCACTGTGGCTGTTTTATTCTCCAGATCTCCCTTTAAATTATTGTAAGTCTTCTAGTATATGTCTTATCCCTACCATTATTATAGCATCAAGTTAATATTAGCCTTCGTAGAGCCTGTGCTCTGTTTTAAATGTCGTTAGACACCTCCTGCAGTAGAACTTTTGAGATTGTTTGTGTGTGGTGTGAAGGATTGATTGAACAGAAGGCCTTCGCACTGAGCTACATTCCTTACCCTTTCCTTTTTTGTTGTTGTTATTCTGAGACACGGTTTCACTAAGTTGCCAAATTGTGCAGGCTGGCTCCTGTGCAAGTTTGACAGTTGTCACATTGGGCCCCTGTTGCCTCAGTCTCCCAGAATGCAGAACTACAAGTGTAAGCCACCATGCCTGGCTAGAACTGCTGGCTTTTAGGACTCTTCATGCCCTCCTTGAACTGAAATTGAGTGTCTTAGTCACTTTTCTTGTTGGTGAGACAAAATACCTGACACTCAAAGTTAAAGGAGGAAAGGTTTATTGTAGATCATGGTTTGTAGATGTTTCAGGTTATAAGTGATTGGCTCTAAGGCAAGGTGGCAGGGGAGAGGGGCATTGCAGAACAGGCTGGCCAAAGCTGGCCAAACAGCACAGTAACAAGCAGCAAGTGACAAGTAACCCTCTTTCTGTCTCATATTTTATCCAGGCTACCTACCCTGAGGGCCAGTAGCACTCACCCTCTTAACACTTTGGACCTATCTTAGTTTTACATCCTTGGTCCCAACAGCACATGCCCTATACCAAGCCACCTCCAAAATACCCCATCTATGACAGTGGGGGGAAAGTGACTTTGAGGGGACATCTAGACACAAGGCTCAACATTGAGTGAGACAGTTTTGGTCAAAGTTATTTTGTTCACCTACTTAGTTATTAAAGAACATTAAGGTTTTTTGGTAAAATACCAACTTTATAAAGATTTCCCCTCTTACTATTGGTATTAGTCTCCTAGAACTTGACATAACAAACTGCCATGAACTTGGTGGCTTAGAACATGAATTTATTCATCCTGCAGACCAGAAATCTGAAATCCTAACAGCAGTAGTAGTGGTTCCTTTGGAAGCTCTGAGGGAGAATCTCTTCCATACCTCTCTCCTAGCTTCTGGTGGCCAAAGTCCTTAGCATAGAAGCATCTCTCCAATATATGCATTTATCATAACATAGCTTTATTTTTCTGTGTCTTTATATCTTCTATCATAAAAACAGCAGTCATGAATTTACAGCCCACCCTAATCCAGTATGACCTGATATTATCTTCAGGGACACTATTACCTAGTCAGGTCACAATGTGGGATTTTGGTAGACATAAATTTCGAAGGACACTATTCAATCCAGTACTCCATTTGTTATGAAGTATCACCTGAAAATAAATATGGTCTCTTTGTACATTAGGTGATCTTTTGTGCAGATTGGCTTGAAAATGAATGGAACAGAGAGATGGCACTGCTAAGTTAACTTATTTGTTGGGATATTTCCTTAACATAACTCATAACTTCTTTTTAGTAATTTTATTTATATGCTTAAGAAAAAGGTAGAAAGCTGTGGAAAGGAAAGAGTTGGCAGAGCCTCACTCTTCTCAATTCTAATTTCTATGTCTGTTTTTAATCTAGAGCCAAATAACTATCGGACCATGCATGGCCGGGCAGTAAATGGCAGCCAGTTGGGAAAGGATTACATCCAGCTGAAAAGCTTGTTACAACCCATCCGGATTTATTCCAGAGCCAGCTTATATGGCCCTAATATTGGGCGGCCCAGGAAGAACGTCATTGCTCTCCTAGATGGGTAGGTCAAATTACTTATGACATTGTGCATTAAATGTAATGAACTAAGATATTTGTCTCTTTTTCCTCATTATTTTCAGTGTTAAGAATAAAGGAAAGGCTTTTTCTATAATAACTAACCCCATTCTGAATTAGAAAACTTTCATCAAACTGTGGAAGAACTTCTTATCTCTGGAGACTTTTCCATAGTCAAGAGGGAATGGTGGGATGAAGGAGGCGTGTAACAATCTCTAGGATGGACTACAAGGAATTCAGTCTTTACAAAACTGGATTTAATATTATAGCATTTCCTGAGACCCATACTTCCTACTCTGACAAGGAAAAACAGCTGACACACTAAAATATTGTCTGCAGCAGAGAATACCTGGGTAGCAAATAAAATGCCCAGGATATAAAATGACTGCAGAGCTGTAAAGACTGTGATTTTAAAGACTTCTTGAAACCATGCACTCTCACAGGAAGATAAGAATAATGGAACTGCCTAGTGACTTGGAAAAATGGGTATAGACATTCTCTGGCTTCATAAACTCCTGCTGATGAATATGGAATTTCATAAGTTCTAAAACAGTATGCTCAGGCAAGGGATTTAGCTCAGTGGTTCCACCAACTGCCTCAAAAGTGCAAGTATGTTGCACCGACTTCTATGCCCTTGGTTATATGCCTTGAATGAAGAGATTTTATAAATATCAAAAATAGTAAAACAAATAAAAGCAAGATTTTTAAGTCAATAAAACTTTAAATATGGAAAAGTATTATAACATCTCATTAGCATATTATATATTTTTCAAAAGGTAAATAATTACTCTTTTCCAGTAAACCTGTTCTAGAAACTAAGACTAGATAAAATCTTGGCCAGCAAAGCTGGGTTAAGAAAGTTAAGAAGCACTATATGTATTTGTACACTAAAGTACAGTTTAATTGATACATTTATTATCATATTCTGGAAAACTGTTACCACTTTATTTAAATTTGACCAAATCTGCCAATCATATTTTAAACGCTGTCATCATGCACAAAGTTCTATGTTAATGTTCTCTGCCTCAGTTCTGGTGGTGAGCCAGCCTCAAACTAGGTAATTGACACAGTCACACAGTCTAGGACAAGTTATACAGGGTTAGAAGAAATGCCTTTACTTAAAATTATTGCCAGAAAAGAAGTAAAATTGCAGTCACAGGGAGCCATAGTGGTATGAGAAAAGCTGAAGATAAATATATGATGAACCCTACTGCCAAAGTGAAGATGTAACCGGAGCAGGAAGGGTAGGAAGAATGAGGTTAGGAAATTCAGGACTTCTTCAGGAATACAGGGCTCTGCGCAGCAAGGCACACATTTTATGTGTCATAGTCCAGAATAGATATTGTTAGTTTTAAAAATTCAAAATGAGTTAGATGTTTTTCAGCAAAGTACACAGAACAAGTGAAGTTAGAAAAATGCCCAACATGCTTAAACAGAGAATTTCCTGAATGGCCTTTGTGGCTTGATGGCTCTAGTGACTCCTCGCTTTCCTAGTTACTTAGTCTTGATCTAAGCTTACAAGCATAGAAGGTATATCGAAGGTTTGGGAAGTCAGACAAATTTACATTGCAAGCAAATACAACCTCAAATTTAATTTTGCTCTTTCCATCTCTCTCTGTCCTCATTCCACCCTGTTTTTTCTTCCATACTTCTTTCTTTTTTTCTTCTCTCTCACTCAGGAGCAACTTCCCCTTTTTGCAGAAAAATATTATGACCTTAGTCCCTACTCACAGACATGGTGATGAGCTTTATCTTGCATACTTTCACTGAACTTTGAAATTACTCTGTGTATGTGTATGGTGAGAAATAGAATGGATATGGAGAAATTGATTTCATTTTGCCTGTTATCATTAGGGGAATAGAATTATTTGTATGAAACTTTGCTCACATTTTATAGCTGTACAATCAAACAAAGCTAATAACACTGATTTAAACTATGTCATACATATTCTTTTAGATTATATTTTTCTTTAATGATTTGATTACTCTCATAGGAGCTACAGTGTCCTTTCACTAGCAAGACACTATGTCAAGATACTTCTTGAACAATTACTATATTTCAGGTACTTTCTTAAGAACTAGGAATAAAATAATAAATAGAACTATACACATTCTGAGCCCCCTTATTCATTGACAGAGACATAAAATAATTCACTAAGCTTAAAACTAAGACATACTAAAAAAACAAAAACAGACAAACAAAAAACTAAGACAATACCAAGGAGTGGTACACGATACTGTGAATAACTGTAACGGTTGTTGTTTAATTGAATGAAGGAAGCCATGGAAGAATTTCTTATAGAAGTGCCACATAAAAAGAAGAGTGGTAATTGAGGTATAATCTACAATATGATTAAGAATCAATTAGACAAAGTGAGAAGTTAACAGCATCAGTCTCCTTGGAAGAATAAAAAGCATATGCAGGGCTGGGGATTTATCTCAGTGTCACCACGCCTGCCTCACACAAGTGCAGGATCCTCCGTTCAATTCCCAGCACCAGAAAGAAATATAAATAAATAAATAGAAAGCTGTGCAAAGGCACTAACATTGAAAAATGGCTAGGTTGGCTAGAGAAAGGTATAGTTAGAGAAGTAAGAAAGACTCATGTTATACAGGGGCTTACAGGAAGAATAAAGTGCTTTTAATTTCTCATAAGTGCTTTTAGGAAGCAGTGATTATTTCTAAGTCAGGTAGGAAAATAATTTGATTTATTATATAAAAACTATTATGTATCTTCTATGTGGAAAATAGATTGAAAAGAACAATGAAATCAGTGAAAAATTTGCTGCACAAATATAGAAAAAGAATGATGGGGACGTGGACTAAGGTGGTGGTACTGGAATATATTATTGGAGGTAGAATCCATTGGATGTGATAGTAAATTGAATAAATATAATAATGCAGCACAGGGGTATATAAGTAATTGGGTAGGTGATGTTATTTCCTGAAATAGGAATGACTAGGAAGAAAAGCATGGCTTTAGTTTTTATGTTGTATTTATTTGGCTTTAATTTAAACAAAATAATAAGAGTCTAATAGAATATGAGTGACGTTGATATAAGGGAAATAAATGTAACTCTCAACCTTCTAGGTGTCAGATATTATGAGTTCATGTTCCCCCAAATCAAAGAATAAATCCTAAGGAACAAGGGAGGTTAAGAGTAGGGAAACTTTGAGAGAAGAGGGGGGTGCTCCTGAGGATCTGGAGGGGACTTGAAAGTGATTGCCAAGGAACCTACTTCTCAAAGGAAGTTTTATAGAGCAAAATCACAAGGTGGGTACAACATGGGTCAAGACTGTGATCAACCAATAAGATTACAAATATTGCTGCTTTGGTAATATTCATCCAATGGGGAAGCAGGTTATGCAGCAAGTGTAAATGGAAAGAACAAAGACCTTCTTTAGGAAGGGATGGATCTGGGCTCTTGGTCACCCATTGGGTAACTAATGTCTTTCTAGACTTTACTGGACCAGATGATACCATTTATCTTATCCCCTGGGGGAGGTAAGTGTAAGATCAGACAGAAGCACAACTGAGACCACCAAGGCAGGCAAAATTAAGCAACATGTGATGAGTTTATTGCCATCTCTAGGTGCAGATGTGTCAAGGAAAAAAGGCCCTTGGCACTGAGAAGAGGTTGTGCATCGTTAATACAGGGAGTCTAGGCAGGAGAGGGGGCACTAGTTGAGAGGGTGGAAAATTTTAGATCCCATGGGTGGTGTGCCTGGGGCTGCTGATAAACAGGGTGGTGGTGAGAGCAGCATGGTGGCTGCTGGCTTCCTGTCATCTTTATGCTCCTGAGGATTCGGGTAGTGGTGTCTGCTTGGGAGGGCTCGGGTGAGGGGATGAGAGGGTGGGAGGGTGTCTGACTTTGGGGGACTTGTCAGTATGTAGGCTTGGTCATTCCATTTTATCTTGAAATCTGGCCTCCAACAGATGCACCTCCATCCACAGTTATACTGTGTCCTTATCTTCTGCACTGACTTCCTTGAGGGCCCAGTCCTGTCTGACTGCCTATAATGTTTCTAACTATTTAGCTGTTTATAATAAATTCACCAAGGTCTCTGCTAGAAATATTAATTATTTAGAGTAGTTAGCATGAACATAGGATTTAAAACCATGGGAATAGAAGAGATTAATTAAAGAGAGTGTAGAAAGAGTAGAGGCACAGGTTTAGGAGCCAGCTCTGAGGAACCTATATATTTAATGGTAAAAGAGGAGTGCTTTCAGTAGTGAGAGGAAGACAGCAAGAGGGTCACAAAGGAAGAGTTTTGAATAAGAGGTCAGGAAGTCACCTAACAGGACGATTGTAAAATACCTTAGAGTTTGTCAACATGTAGGTTGTTGGTGATCTTGAGAAACAGTTCAGGGGAGTAGTGGGAACGGAAGTTAGATTTCAGTAGTTTGAATAGTGAAGGGGGGAGGTGAGCAATTGGGTACAATGTGGTAAACAACTTTTAGTACGATTTCCACTGTAAGAAAAAACAAAAAAGATGAAAAGAGTTGTGTGGTTAAGGAAGATAATAACATTTTCAACCCTTAATGTGGGGAAAAGAACAGGCTTATAGGCTAAAGAGATATATTCATGAGAAGAGAGAGCTAGTTGTGGAAAAAAAAAAGGAGGATATAGCTGAAGTGATAACTCCTTTAAGGTTGAAAGAAATGGAAACTGGAAAGATTGACTTTTATTAAAATGAGGGATGGTCTCTAGGGTAATAAAAGATAAGAAACAAACATTTTTCTGTGCAAGAAGAAAGTCATATGAGGAGTGGCCTTGCCTCTATTGTTATGAATAAGTTAAGAAAAATGAGCAACAAGAAGCTAAGATGAAAAAAAAAATGAGCATGTGACTGGTATGTTGTGGTGGCAAGGGGTAGGCTCTATTTCCTTGGTACCTAAAATCCAAAATAAAGAGAGGAGAAATTCTCTTAATGCAAGAAAGATACTACTGAACATTTTCCTCTTTTATGTGCCAGAAAAAAGGT